CACACACACACACACACACACACACACACACACACCAGCAGTACGTCCTGCACAGCGGGAGGGGAGGAGAGAAAAAGAGGCAGAAAGGCAGTGAGGCAGCTGCAGCCCTAACGGACCAAACTTCAGTCAAACAAGACCCAACACTTTTATTCCTGATTTAAACTAGTGATCTTGTGAGCAGCTGCAGCTGTATGTTTTTATTTTTTTCTGTCAGGCTGTCGGAGCGCTCCTCCTCCTCTGTCTGAGGCTGGTGTGGGGTGAAAATCCTCCACCCCAGACATTCAGAGATGTAACTGTCTGCGATGCTGTGGTCACTTTCCATGTAGCGTCAATTATGCTAATGCTAGCTGCCTGTCACGTTCTCTCATCCTGGCCACACCTCCGCTCTCTAACCCCACCCCCACCACAAATTTAGTCTAATAATTGAAAACATGGATGAAATATGAAACAAATAAAATAAAATACATACAAAGCAGAACACAGCTAAATGTATCAAAAGTATGTCTGTGTAATTTTAGAATTTTCTGAGACAATGAATTTTGGTTTTTCATTTTTTCCCCAGTAAGAGGTTTTTATTTAATAGAATTTTTGGACAAAAGAAATCACAATATATCGCCTTGCTTACAGTATCGCAATTAGGGCTGTGTATTGGGAAGAATTTGGCGATACGATACGTATCATGACAGAGGGGTCACGATACGATATATCCTGATATATTGCGATACTGTAAGCAAGGCGATATATTGTGAATTTTTTTGGTCCAAAAATTCTGTTAAATAAAAACCTCTTAACTGGAAAAAAAAAGAAAAACCAAAATTCATTGTCTCAGAAAATTCTACTACATAGACATGCGCTAGCTTTCTGTAACGTGAAGGTTGACTAAAGTTGGAAAAAAGAGCGCACGAGACACTTAATTTGGTTTAAAATACAGACATTCTGACAAATAAGTAACTGTTGGTAACCTTACCTCAGCTTAGAAGCAGAGAGTCGGTCTTTTCCGCTCAGATTCAGCTATCGGAGCATMAAGCTAATGTTTACTTACAATGCTAATGCTCTCTTGCTCTCTGGCGCTCAAGAGGTAGAGGAGCCAAATGGCTGGCTCACTGCTGCCAACTAGTGGTCAGGCTGAAGTTCAACATAAAAATGAACGGCTGGCAGGAAAGATGACATTTTAAACCTTAATAAAAAATCAATACGGGACTTTAGAATATTGATACAGTATCGGGAAATGAAATATTGCGATATTTCAGTGTATTGATATTTTCTTACACCCCTAATCACAATATATCATATCGTGACCCCTCTGTCTTGATATGCATCGTATAGCCAAATTCTTGCCAATACACAGCCCTACTGTTTTCAAATTTTGCTCACAACTTCCTCAGTGTTCAAGATATCGCCATGAAATTTTAGGAAAAGATTCACATTCTGGTTTTGTAGGAAGCATCTTGTATCCTAAAAAACTAATAAAACTTAATAATAGCCAATTCAAATGTAGCAGAAAAGGTATAAAATAACATTACAAGGCAAACTGTAGCATCAAATCAACTTAATGTGTCTTATAAAGTAAGGAAATTAAAACAATTTAAAAAGCATGTGGACATGTGTTTTGTAAACAAAGCTCGTCAACCAATGACAGCGTGTTAAATGTGACAAGTGACGAAGACGAGCATCAAAACACTTTGCAACAAGCGCTGTTCAGGATTAAAAAAAACATACTTCAACGTTTCAAATCATTATCAAATTTGGAAGAAGGGCAGATAAATAATGTTCTTCCTGGCAGCTTATCTCTTTAAGGGGTCACTAGAAAAACTCGGGTGATTTAATTTGATCCGCTTTTCAAAAAATTGTCTCTTCAAAACTCATCAACAAAAATAAAAAACTAGAATACGAGGCTGTAGCTAACTACCTGACGGCAGCCCGATTTGTTGAAACTCGTAGAAATAACGAAGCAGGTGGAAATAACAAGCAAACGCACCGAGCAGCTTTGCAAAATCTGGTCACAGCAGTTTGGGAAGAAAATGGCAGCAGCTGCTTGAAGAAATGTCAACATCCCTACAACTAGGTGTGTAAATCAAGGCCACTGTGTTGGATTTACTGAATGTATTATAACAAACATTCAGTACATGAATGCATTGCAGTCCTTTGAGATATTGCAGTGATAATATTTTTAAATTTTATTTTAAGGCTGTATGTACTGATTCCAAAACTTTAGTTTTTTTTAAATCGGACCACCCATAAAGGATTTATAGGTCATCAAAAGTTGAAAATTAGGAAGCAAGTGCAGCATTACTTCCATTACACCATACAAACAGTCACGAAGCTGTAGACAGTGTGTGTCACAATTTTGCAACAATTATTTAAAATAGAAAACAAACTAGATAAAACATTTAGATGGATTTCAAAATGATATGGGGGCTCTAAGCATTAAAAGAGTGACTGAAGAACACAAAAACCTGACCCACGCACTGCAGGGGTTGGACAACGCATTTATCGAAGGTGGGCAGGGTTTTCCTGAGAAAACTGGCTATGCCTTGTGGTAGTGCTGCTCAGGCCGCCCACCGTGTTCTTGTTAAAAAATTGTAAAAGTTGTCAGGGAATTGAAAATATGACATAATGTACCGTATTTTTTTGACTATAAGCTGCTCCGGACTATAAGCCGCACCCCCAACATAAAAAAAACAGTACACCCAAATTTGCCGTCAAAAAAGTGAATTCAACATCAAAACATAAAAAGCAAACCTTTAGGAATTAAAGTTCGGAGGAATACGGTTCATTTAACTGAACTTATTTTGGTAGTTTTCTTTAACAGTTTCTGGTCCAACAAAACGTCTCATTCATCGTCCTCCGGCGTGCTGAAAAC